CTAAGTCCTTGTAACGATAAGGAGGTGAATTTTTAATGGATTTTTGAAATTTGTGTACTTTTTTACAAAACTTAAAACCCCCATTGTTCCTCTCATCCGCCAGCAAGGGTTAGCCGAAGAACCAAAAGAAAGTACTTGTGTCCCGAGGCACTTCAACCCCCAAAAGGAAACTTGGGAAAGTTATACCGTGTTCAATGGCCTAAATTTTGCTTTCAAGGGTTCCTAGGTGTCTTCTTTTTTGCTTGTATGGTGTAGCAAAGCGTTTCCCCCATGAGTTGTTAATTCCACTCCGAACCCCAATTCAACCCCGAGATTCGTAGCAATCGTACCGCAGGTCAAAGTTTTTTTTAGAAGAATCCGTGAAAAACCCCTTCAAAATCAACAGCAGAATTTACTAGAGTAAATAATAGCCGTGCTAAGCCATCAAAAGTTAAAGTAGGTTCGAGAGTATGTGAAAATTTCAACAAAAATCGCAATTGCCTAAGCTCGATCAAAAGTTTGCGGCCTTATGAGTTGAAAAAACATCTTGGTAATAAGTATAGGTTAGAGAAGTTAGTATGGTAATACAAAAAATGCTTTAGATATATGAAAATTGTATGTGAGTTGAGATATTGTACCCCGACTATGTGCGATGCTGAAAACCCCTTTTACTCTGTACCCCCTCCTCAAATACTCAGTCCTAACCAAATGATGTCTTTATCCCTTTCGTATCGACAAAGTAATGAGAAACCCACAAGATTTTTGTGTACTCGTTCGATCTCCCCGTCAAAGGGATGTTTAGTCATTGCAGGGAAATTCGATCCTCCCCGGAGTAAACCCTTTCTATGAAACCTCACCCTCGCAGAATTGGGTTCAAAAAGTTTCATAGCCTGTATAATAGGTGTCCCAAAATGAAGTAAAATTGTCAATGTTTGTTATTAAATGATTTTTTTTCAGAATTTTTTTTTCGTTCTGTTCCCCCTGATTGAGAATTTTACAGTAATGTTGAGTGTGCACCAGATGCCTTTGCTGTTTAAATTTTACCTTGATATTATTTTTTTATTTTTCCTCAGAATCGTAGAGGCATGAATACAGACGATCGATCATTCCATCCCCTATTGACAATGATTTGTTCTTTAGTTTGTAAAGCATTTCGTTTAAAATCATTTTGTTAACTCCTTTTATACCTCCATTGTTTTGTTTATTGAAATTTTTTTTGATAGAATAGCCAGAACCACCCGCTGTTCGCCTATAAAATGTAGTTATGTCGAGACGGGCATACGTAAATGACCCAGCTGTCGATGTTGTGATCCCCGTGTTGTTAGTATCAAACATCCTGTGCTTAGATGATCCGTAGGCCTGTGACTGTTTGTGTGACGTCACGGGATGCGCATGTGTACGTTCGTACCTCTGCCACTCTCTCAGTCGGCGTTTGACACAGGCTAGGACAGGCAGAGGCTGGGCTCCATCTCTCATCATCACAGTCTGACAATATATCGTTACCATCCAACAAGTGTGTCTACCTTCAACCCTCGATATCTCCATTTAAGAACCCCTACGATACCAAGACAACATGAGGAACAACAGAGATCACTGAACCAAGACAACAAGAGTAACAACAGAGATCACTGAACCAAAACAACAAGAGTAACAACAGAGATCACCAAACCAAAACAACAAGAGTAACAACTGATCACCGAACCAAGACAACAAGAGTAACAACAGAGATTACTGAACCAAGACAACAAGAGTAACATTATTATTACAATAAAAAAGAAGCGGTAAACCCACTAAACACGAGTAACAATAGATATCACTGAACCCTCAAGACTGACAAGAAACATCGCTGAACCAACCCTAGCTCGGTTGGTAGCGCACTCAACTCACACACTGAAGTCCATGATTCGATCCCCGGTACGGGTGGAAACATTAGGACGTTTCCTTAAGATACCTGCTGTCCCTCTTCACCTAGCAGTAAATAGGTACCTGGGTGTTAGCCGACTGGTGTAGGTCGTATCCTGGGGACAAAATTAACCTAATTTGCCCGTAATGCTCAACTGCATAACAATGGGCTTTTTATATAGTATGTCATTGATGTTAGCTGAGTCTGTATAAGTTATATCATGTGCTTGTAGAAATAATAATAATAATAATAATAATAATTATTATTATTATTATTATAAGACACCACTGAACCATCGGAACAAGTGGCAACACACTAAATTCTTAAAGGAGGACAAATCACTAAGCGCACAAATCCTTAAAATGATGCATGCTGCCCCGACCATTTGTGCCCAGCGGGCTCTGAAAAAACAGATGAGGACAACTGTCACTAAAGTGATTTGAGTAAATTTATTACGGATATTATTATTATTATCAAAAAGAAGCGCTAAGCCACAAGGGCTATGCAGCTTATTACGGATATTCAGAGAAAATCAAAACATCTGCACACAAAGTCCGGCGCACTTATGCGCCCAGACTTTGTGTGCAGATGTTTCCATTTCCTTCCTTCCCCATCCTTCTTTCTCCTTACTAGGGCTCTGGTAAGAAGGGTTCGGTACTGGTTAATTACTTCCATTACGACCCTCCATAGACGTCAGGAGAAGTAGGAACGCCTTTAAGCTAGTGAAGGGCTATTGATTAAATGAACTGGAATTACCCTTCCTTTCCTTGGGTCTCATTACCCCCTCATTCCTCAAGCGTTGTTACCCCCTTTACAAGCTTAACCTATCTTCACAAACAATATAACTAGCCTACAAAATTCAACTTTTCATCCAACTCAGAAACCACACTGATTGTTTTAAGCTAACTTTGACGAGTTACCAGGAATCAGAGCTTGTTTAATTTCTATCACATAAGTTTTTTTTTTCTTTTTTTTTGAAACCTTAAGATTTTGGGTATACAAGGTAGAAGAAGCACATGTTAACTAAATATCATGGGTATTATACACAGATACTAAATGTGGTACATACACTGGCAAAGACTAATCTTTCTTAATTTAAATTCATTATATATAAGTATAACAAAAATAAAGTTCCATACAAACATATTTGCAACACAGTTTTCAGTCTTTTTCGTTTGTTTTCAGTATGGTTCTTCCATACCAGTGTTCAGCAGCAGTCGGTCATCAAAACTGATCGTCAGGTTTTCCTGATATCCCTTCATGATAGCTACGTCTTGGTGAAATCGTTTACTGTGGAATTCAATTTCACAGAAACTAAGTGTTGGAAAAAAAAACTATGTTCAGATTTTAATTCAGCGTCCAAAAAATAGTTAGAAACACATGTTTTTAAATGTGAACTAAGACCAATGTTGACCAGTGTAATGAAAGCCTACTCAGAAAATAAAATATGGAATTAGAAGTAAGGGAGTTGCAAGTGTACAGTATTCACCCTATTAGTATCATTTGCACTGATTCAAATTCAAATTCAAAGTTTATTCTCTATAAGGATTACAATGCTGAGTTTACAGAAATTTGGTTATTGTGTGGTTTACATGTAGTAAAATTGTGATTACAGAGTGTACCACTAGAACGCTTAGCATGGCTAGGCATTTCGGGCATACTTAGTTTTATTCTTAATTGTAAAATATTACAAATTATGAGGTAAGTTGGTATTATGGCTAAGTGACTAAATACTAGTTTGTAAGTTTAGCAATGTGAATGCTTTTGTTTTGGCACAGTACATACTTTCAGTGTTGGAGTATCACAGGATTCATTATTTTAAGATTGAGATTAATATTTCTGTTTATGGTCAAATGAGTGAGTGAGTGTAAGTGTGAACCACCAGGTGGTATTCGTGTAGTTAGTTGACGGGGTGTATCAGGAGATAAGATGTTTTCTAATGGTAGTTTTGAAGGTGATGAATGTGTCTGCAGTTCTAGAGTTCTCAGGTAGGGTATTCCAGATTTTAGGGCCTTTGACATACACTGAATTTTTGTAAAGGTTTAGTCGGACACGGGGAATGTCGTAGAGATGTTTGTGTCTGGTGTTATGCCTGTGAGTTCTGTCACAACTATCAAGAAAGCATTTTAGGTCAAGGTTGATATTAGAGTTTAAGGCACTGTAGATGTAGATTGCACAGTAGTAAGTGTGGATGTACTGAACTGGGAGTAAGTTTAGGTCTATGAAGAGTGGGGGGTGTGTTGCCAGGGATGGGATTTAGTGATTATTCTTACTGCAGCTTTTTGTTGGGTTATTATTGGCTTTAGGTGTGTTGCTGCAGTTGATCCCCAAGCACAAATAGCATAGGTGAGGTATGGATAAATAAGTGAGTGGTATAGTGTGAGAAGGGCATTTTGCGGCACGTATCTTGGAGAGGATCCCAACCGTTTTGGATACTTTTTTGGTTATATGCTGGATATGGGTGCTGAAATTCAGGTTGTTGTCAAGGTATAAGCCTAGGAATTTGCCCCCATTATTTCTGGTAATTAGAGTGTTGTCAGTCTTAATGTTAATTTGTGCATCTCCTGCTCTGCTACCAAACATAATATAGTAGGTTTTGTCAGTGTTAAGCGTAAGTTTATTGGCTGTCATCCAAGTCGATATTTTAATCAGCTCCTCATTCACAATGGTGTTGAGGGTGGCAAGATTAGGGTGAGAGATGACATAAGTCGTGTCATCAGGTGTTGGGATACGTTTGGAAGGTCATTGATGTATATGAGGAAGAGCAGGGGACCAAGGACACTTCCCTGCGGAACTCCAGTATCAAGTGGCCGTGTTGCTGATGCTGTGTCTTTAATGGTGACATACTGATACCTATTAGTAATGTAAGATTTGAAATAAGCAAGCGCATGGCCTCTTATACCGTAATGATCAAGTTTGTGGAGTAGGATGTCGTGGTCTACTGTGTCAAAAGCTTTTCTTAAGTCAATAAAAATTCCTAGTGGATATTCCTTATTTTCCAACGCTGTGTAAAGCAGATCTAGCATTTTTATGATTGCATCATTAGTGCTTGATGATAGTACTCAGTGTTGGGCGTATTCCCACTGTTAGTAGTACCCACACTTAAGATAGTACTCACATTGGAGGGCGTAGGAGGCGAGCAGGGCAGCAGTGGAAGGCTGGGCACCAAGACGGTCCTCCAGTATATCTCGCCGTAATTGCAGGAAGACATGGTAGCGCGTGTATTCCTCCGTCAGCTTCCCAGGATCGCTCACCCAGAACTTTACACGGAAGTACAGCACCGGAAGTCCACCTGCCACCAACTACAGTCAACATTACAAGCCAACTAAACTCAACACATTACTTAATAAAGAAGATTTTTTTTACCTAAATAAGGAAGCATGAGAATAATTCAAAGTTCCCCAAATCTTGTAAATAAAAACAAAATGAGATAAGAAAATGAAGCCTTTCTTGACATTGTTTACCCAGAGGTACCCAGAAGAGCTCTTGATTCAAAGAAATGGCGTTATCCTTCCCTTGGATCAAACCTGATTACCCCCCCATTCTCGAGAAGCTATATGACTTGTATGGTTTAGCGCCTGCCCATGCAAATATTAATCATAATAATCTGGAAAGATAACTAGAGTCAATGCATTTTCTACAATGGGATCACTATGATAACGCGAAGCGGACTGTGTTAACAAATAACACGAGTATGTACATATTTAACCAAGCAATAAGATTATAGTAAACAAGTGATATCACAATATGAAAAAACAACCACTGTGAAAGTCACGAAAGCGTCTGGGAATTTCGCTATTTTTTCACAGGGGTTGTTTTGCATATATTTAAGCATATATAATATTACCCATAATGAAAAGCAAGTATTCCAATGATTACACCATCTCATCTCAAGCTTGAAACAGGTGATATCACAATATACAGAACAACCACTGAAATAGAATTCCAAGCCCTTCGTGATTTTGGAATTCTACTATTTTTTCAGGGGTGTTCTGCATATACATACACACACACACACACACACACACACACACACACACACACACACACACACACACACACACACACACACACACACTCCATGCAAAGACAAATATAAGAAGAAAAGTGCAACAACAGTAAAGGTGAAAGTGAAATAAATTGCGAGCGGACGGTTCCTGGGTGAAGGTTAGGTTAGGTAAGGCTTGTCAGGAAATAGAACAAGTGTTTCCTGACGCGGGTCTTAGTCATACATGAGTGAAGAGAACTAAAAGTACCCAGACAGGTAGAGTGAAGTAGGAATACAAGGAGGAAGAAACGTAGGCTGGAAGGAAGGCAGGGAGAGAGGGCAACAACCAGGTAGGTAGGCAGGAAAGAAGCAGGTATATAGAAAGGGAATCTGGTAATAAGGTGGGTAGGAGGCAAGGCTGCAAAAAGTAGGTAGGAAGGGGGAAGCAGGTTTAGAGGTGACCAAGCATGGAAGGAAGTAGGTTGAGCGTTGCAGAATGTAAGCGGGAAAAGTGAGAGTTCATAAGAATATGGTGAAATATATCAATTTAAATAGATTCAGATGTGTGTTTAGAAAATGTAATTAAGCGTATTTGTATTTGAGTAAAAGAGAACTAAATACGCACAAGTTCCCAGAGTCTTGGCCCCTGATGCAAGTTGTTTCTTCACAGGCTTGAGGGGGTCGAGCCATCTCTTGTGGGTGGGAGAAGCACGTCACACACCAAACCTTAATAAATATTCCTCAGACGTTAAGACGATACTTCCCTCCCCCCCTACCATCCTCTTAACTTCCCTCCCCACCTACCATCCTGCCTACTTCCCTCCCCACCTACCATCCTGCCTACTTCCCTCCCCACCTACCATCCTGCTTACTTCCCTCCTCACCTACCATCCTGCTTACTTTCCCTCCCCACCTACCATCCTGCCTACTTCCCTCCCCCCCTACCATCCTCGTACTTTCCCCCACCTACCATCCTGCCTACTTCCCTCCCCACCTACCATCCTGCCTACTTTCTCCCCACCTACCATCCGCCTACTTTCCTCCCCACCTACCATCCTGCCTACTTCCCTCCCCACCTACCATTCCTGCCTACTTCCCTCCCCACCTACCATCCTGCCTACTTCCCTCCCCACCTACCATCCTGCCTACTTCCCTCCCCACCTACCATCCTGCCTACTTTCCTCCCCAACTTTCCATGTTGCCTACTTCCCTCCCCACCTACCACCCTGCCTACTTCCCTCCCCACCTACCATCCTGCCTACTTCCCTCCCCACCTACCATCCTCCCTACTTCCCACCCCACCTACCCCTCCTGCCTACTTCCCCCCCCACCTACCATCCTGCCCCACTTTCCTCCCCACCTACCAAACCTGCCTACTTCCCTCCCCACCTACCATCCTGCCTACTTTCCCCCCCCCCTTTCCATGTTGCCTACTTCCCTCCCCACCTACCATCCTGCCTACTTCCCTCCCCACCTACCATCCTGCCACTTTTCCCTCCCCCCCTACCATCCGCCTACTTCCCCCCCCACCTACCATCCTGCCTACTTCCCTCCCCACCTACCATGTTGCCTACTTCCCCCCCTACCTACCATCCTGCCTACTTCCCTCCCCACCTACCATCCTGCCTACTTCCCCCCCCCCACCTACCATCCTGCCTACTTCCCTCCCCACCAACCATCCTGCCTACTTCTCTCCCCACCTACCATCCTGCCTACTTCCCTCCCCACTACCATCCTGCCTACTTCCCCCCCCCACCTTTCCTCCCCGCCTACTTCCCCTCCCCACCTACCATCCTGCCTACTTCCCTCCCCACCCCACCATCCTGCCTACTTTCTCTCCCCACCTACCATCCTGCTTACTTCCTCCCCACCTACCATCCTGCCTACTTTCCTCCCCACCTACCATCCTGCCTACTTACCTCCACACCTGCCATCCCGCCTACTTACCCCCCCACCTGCCATCCCGCCTACTTCCCCCCCCACCTGCCATCCCGCCCACTTCCCCCCCCACCTGCCATCCCGCCTACTTCCCTCCCCACCTGCCATCCCCCCTACTTTCCCCCCCAAACCTGCCTTCCGGGCCCGTTTCCCCCCCCAACCTCCATCCGGGCCTATTTTTCCCTCCCCCCCCTCCCATCCTGCCTACTTACCTCCCCCCCTTTTACCATCCTGCCTACTTCCCCCCCCCACCTACCATCCTGCCTACTTCCTCCCCACCTCCCATCCTGCCTACTTCCCCTCCCACCTACCACCCTGCCTACTTCCCCCCCCACCTACCCACCCTGCCTACCCCCCCCCCACCTACCACCCTGCCAAATTTCCCCTTTCCCCACCTCCCATCCTCCTATTTTTCCCCCCCCCTACCCCCTGCCTACTTCCCTCCCCACCTACCATCCAAACCTACTTCCCCCCCCCACCTACCATCCTGCCAAACTTCCCCCCCCAACCTACCATCCTGCCTCCCTTCCCTCCCACCAACCACCTGCCTATTTTTCCTCCCCACCAAAACGACCCCTCCTATTTCCCTTTCCCCCACCTACCATCTTGCCTATTCCCTCCCCCCCCTGCCATCCTGCCAAATTCCCTCCCCACCTACCACCCCTGCCTACTTCCCTCCCCACCTACCCCCCTGCCTACTTCCCTCCTCACCTACCTTTCCTCCCATTTTTCCCCTCCCCACCAACCATCCTGCCTACTTTCCTCCCCACCTACCATCCTGCCTACTTCCCTCCCCACTACCTTTTGCCTATTTTCCCCCCCCAACCTCCCCATCCTGCCTATTTCCCCTCCCCTTTCTACCACCTCCCTACTTCCCCCCCCACCTACCATCCCCCCCTTATTTTCCCCCCCCACCTACCATCCTGCCAAACTTCCCCCCCTCCACCTACCATCCTGCCTATTTCCCTTTCCCCAACCTCCCATCCCGCCTACTTTCCTCCCCCCCTCCCTTCCTGGTGTTTCCCTCCCCCCCTACCATCCTCCCCTACTTTCCTCCCCACCTACCATCCGGGCCTATTTCCCTCCCCCCCTTTCCATCTGCCTACTTCCCTCCCCACCTACCATCCTGCCTATTTCCCCTCCCCCCCTTTACCATCCTGCCTTTTTCCCTCCCCCCCCTTCCCAATCCTGCCTATTTCCCCCTCCCCCCCTTACCACCCTGCCCTATTCCCCCCCCACCACTATCCTGCCTATTTTTCCTCCCACCTACCATCCTCCCTTTATTTCCCCCCCCCACCTACCACCCTGCCTACTTCCCTCCCCACCAACCATCCTCCCTACTTCCCCCCCCCACCTCCCAAACCCCTGCCTATTCCCTCCCCACCTACCACCCTCCCTACTTCCCCCCCCCCCCCCCCCATCCCTGCCAAACTTTCCTCCCCACCTACAAATCCTGCCTATTTCCCTTTCCCCACCTCCCAAATTTCCCTATTCCCTCCCCCCCCTCCCAATCCTGCCTATTTTCCCCCCCCACCTACCACCCCTGCCTACTTCCCTCAAACCTACCACCCTTTGCCTATTTCCCCTCCCCCCTACCATCCTCCCTTTATTTCCCCTCCCCACCAACCTCCTGCCTACTTTCCTCCCAAAAACCCTACCATCCTCCCCTATTTCCCCTCCCCCCCTACCATTTTCCCCTACTTCCCCCCAAACCTACCCCTGCCTATTCCCCTCCCCACCTACCATCCTGCCTATTTTTCCTCCCCACCTACCACCCTTTCCCCACTTCCCTCCCCACCTACCATCCTGCCTACTTCCCTCCCCCCCTACCATCCTGCCTATTTCCCCCTCCCCACCTCCCCTTCCTGCCTATTTTTCCCCTCCCACCTACCATCCGGCCTACTTCCCCCCCCCCCCTTTGCCATCCTGCCTACTTCCCTCCCCACCTGCCATCCTGCTTATTCCCCCCCCCCACCTACCACCCCTGCCTACTTCCCCCCCCCACCTACCACCCCTCCCTACTTCCCTCCCCACCTCCCCTCCTCCCCCTATTTTCCCTCCCACCTCCCCATCCTGCCTATTTTCCCTCCCCACCTGCCCACCCTGCTTACTTCCCTCCCCACCTACCTTTCCTCCTACTTCCCTCCCCACCTACCATCCTCCTACTTTCCCCCCCACCAACCTTTCCTGCCTACTTCCCCCCCCCTCCCTCCTCCCTACTTCCCCCCCCCACCTCCCACCTCCCCTACTTCCCTCCCCACCACCACCCCGGGGGCCTACTTCCCCCCCCAAACCAACCATCCGGGCCTACTTCCCTCCCCCCCTACCATCCTGCCACTTCCCTCCCCACCTACCCCCCCGGGCCTATTTTTCCCCCCCCCTCCCTTGCCTATTTCCCCCCCACCTACCACCTGCCAACTTCCCTCCCCACCTCCCATCCGGGCCTACTTCCCTCCCCACCTCCCAAACCCCCGCCTACTTCCCTCCCCCCCTTACCATCCTGCCCCCCTTTCCCCCCCCACCTACCATCCTCCCTTTACTTCCCTCCCCACCTACCACCCCGCCTACTTCCCTCCCCACCTCCCATCCTGCCTACTTCCCCCCCCCCCACCTACCACCTGCCTATTTTCCCTTTCCCCCCCCTCCCCACCCCTCCCCTATTTTTCCCTCCCCCCCTCCCATCCCCCTACTTCCCCCCCCCACCTGCCATCCTGCTTACTTCCCCCCCCAACCCTTCCCTCCTGCCTACTTTCCCCCCCACCTCCCAATCCTCCCTACTTTCCTCCCCACCTACCACCCTTTTTATTTCCCCTTTCCCCCCCTACCATCCTGCCTACTTCCCTCCCCCCTCCCCATCCTCCCTACTTCCCTCCCCATCTACCACCCGGGGCCAACTTCCCCCCCCCCACCAAACCTTTTCCTGCCTATTTTTCCTCCCCACCTCCCATCCCCCTAATTCCCCCCCCCCCACCTACCCCCTGCCTACTCTCCTCCCCCCCTCCCTTCCCTGGCTTTTTCCCCTCCCCCCCCCTTTTGCTTTTGTTAAAAATTGGGGGGGGAAAACCCTTTCCACTTTTAAATGTGAATTTTTTTTTTTTTTTTAAGAGATAGATCGGAAAAGCCGGTGGAAGATTTTGGCCATAAGAAAAAAGCCCCTTAAGAGTTTATTATAAAATTTAGAACCAAGCCCCCAAAAAAAAAAAGTAATACAAAAACACTACCATACCCCTCCATGTCAACAAAACTTAAAAAAGAGGATTACCATCCCCCGTAGGGTCGAGCAAGATATCCCTGACCCTCCTATCTTTTAAAGTCATTTATTCCCAAATATATTGCAACACAATTATGTGAATTGTTTTAAAATAGAGCTGGGTTTTTAGCTCTTAGTTATGATAAAAAATAATAATAAAAAATAATAATAATAAAATAAAAAATAATAATAATAATAAAAATAATAAAAAATGATAAAAGAACTGCGTTTCTTTTTTTTTCACCCTCCCCTTTCCTTTATTTCCCCTTTCCCCCCCGTACGCTTTCCCCCTTTTCCTTCTCTCTCACCCCAAACCTTTTTCCCCCTCCAATATTTTCATTAATCAAATCCCACTTTCAGAAAAATTTTATTTTAACATTAACTGTAGCATAGTTTTTAAAACCCCCGTTGCTTCCTTAAAATCCCCCGCTGACAATCAATACATAAAAAAGTGGATCAATAACAAAAATACAACTACAACCCAAATTCCCTTTTATTTCCCAA